GAAAAGAAACCACTGAAGAGCAAGAATTAGGAATCACTAAAAGGGCCATCTTATTGCAATCAATTTTTTAACATTACCTATAGAACTTTAGCTTGTTGACCTGTAGACACGGGAGACTCAACATAACTCAACTGCGACGAGGATGGGATTCGAACCCACGCGTGCAGAGCACAATGGATTAGCAGTCCATCGCCTTAACCACTCGGCCACCTCGTCTTTGGCAGCCTGTTTTCAAAGGGACCGCCGGACGCGCTGTCCTGACAAAGCAAACAAAGTTGAGCACATGTCAGCTTGGCACACAAGTCATTGAGCAAGTCTACAAGGGGAATTAGCTCAAATGGTAGAGCGCTCGCTTAGCATGCGAGAGGTAGCGGGATCGATGCCCGCATTCTCCACAAGGCTTTAGTTTCCTCTGTTCTGTCGATGAGTCAGTGACTGAAAGACGTTAAATGGATGGACAAACTTCACTCGGATGGTGATGGTCTTCTTAGTCCTTCATACCGCTGCCTGAAAGCCTACTTAGTTGCATTGCTCTCTCTGCCTTGTGGTGCACTGTACGTGTGTTCTTCTTCCAGCGGCTGTGGACGGTAACTGGAGTTAGTGCCCCAGCCACCACTGGGCAAGTTAATTCCCTGCAAAACCAGCTTGTCGTCCGCTCTGCGCTTGTACCTCTGCTTAACAGTGTTCTTATTCACCTCCACCAACTGCAGGCAAGTGCTCCTTATTACTATTCCATTATTTGAAACCACCTTCTTTGGATTTCTATGATTGTTTCAAGCACACACAGCCCTGTGGAGGGAAGCGCACTTCTCTTCAGGCTGTCCACCCCAAGAGTGAATTCAGTCTTGTTTTTGGGTGACGTAAGCCGCCAATTGGTTGGCCTAGTTTTGTCCAGGTGTCTGGCACTGGCTGTTTTGTCGTAATCTAGCAAGTTTTGCCACAGGGCCGTAATTGTGCTCATTTCAAAAGGAGACATGAAAAGAAACCACTGAAGAGCAAGAATTAGGAATCACTAAAAGGGCCATCTTATTGCAATCAATTTTTTAACATTACCTATAGAACTTTAGCTTGTTGACCTGTAGACACGGGAGACTCAACATAACTCAACTGCGACGAGGATGGGATTCGAACCCACGCGTGCAGAGCACAATGGATTAGCAGTCCATCGCCTTAACCACTCGGCCACCTCGTCTTTGGCAGCCTGTTTTCAAAGGGACCGCCGGACGCGCTGTCCTGACAAAGCAAACAAAGTTGAGCACATGTCAGCTTGGCACACAAGTCATTGAGCAAGTCTACAAGGGGAATTAGCTCAAATGGTAGAGCGCTCGCTTAGCATGCGAGAGGTAGCGGGATCGATGCCCGCATTCTCCACAAGGCTTTAGTTTCCTCTGTTCTGTCGATGAGTCAGTGACTGAAAGACGTTAAATGGATGGACAAACTTCACTCGGATGGTGATGGTCTTCTTAGTCCTTCATACCGCTGCCTGAAAGCCTACTTAGTTGCATTGCTCTCTCTGCCTTGTGGTGCACTGTACGTGTGTTCTTCTTCCAGCGGCTGTGGACGGTAACTGGAGTTAGTGCCCCAGCCACCACTGGGCAAGTTAATTCCCTGCAAAACCAGCTTGTCGTCCGCTCTGCGCTTGTACCTCTGCTTAACAGCGTTCTTATTCACCTCCACCAACTGCAGGCAAGTGCTCCTTATTACTATTCCATTATTTGAAACCACCTTCTTTGGATTTCTATGATTGTTTCAAGCACACACAGCCCTGTGGAGGGAAGCGCACTTCTCTTCAGGCTGTCCACCCCAAGAGTGAATTCAGTCTTGTTTTTGGGTGACGTAAGCCGCCAATTGGTTGGCCTAGTTTTGTCCAGGTGTCTGGCACTGGCTGTTTTGTCGTAATCTAGCAAGTTTTGCCACAGGGCCGTAATTGTGCTCATTTCAAAAGGAGACATGAAAAGAAACCACTGAAGAGCAAGAATTAGGAATCACTAAAAGGGCCATCTTATTGCAATCAATTTTTTAACATTACCTATAGAACTTTAGCTTGTTGACCTGTAGACTCAACATAACTCAACTGCGACGAGGATGGGATTCGAACCCACGCGTGCAGAGCACAATGGATTAGCAGTCCATCGCCTTAACCACTCGGCCACCTCGTCTTTGGCAGCCTGTTTTCAAAGGGACCGCCGGACGCGCTGTCCTGACAAAGCAAACAAAGTTGAGCACATGTCAGCTTGGAACACAAGTCATTGAGCAAGTCTACAAGGGGAATTAGCTCAAATGGTAGAGCGCTCGCTTAGCATGCGAGAGGTAGCGGGATCGATGCCCGTATTCTCCACATGGCTTTAGTTTCCTCTGTTCTGTCGATGAGTCAGTGACTGAAAGACGTTAAATGGATGGACAAACTTCACTCGGATGGTGATGGTCTTCTTAGTCCTTCATACCGCTGCCTGAAAGCCTACTTAGTTGCATTGCTCTCTCTGCCTTGTGGTGCACTGTACGTGTGTTCTTCTTCCAGCGTCTGTGGACGGTAACTGGAGTTAGTGCCCCAGCCACCACTGGGCAAGTTAATTCCCTGCAAAACCAGCTTGTCGTCCGCTCTGCGCTTGTACCTCTGCTTAACAGCGTTCTTATTCACCTCCACCAACTGCAGGCAAGTGCTCCTTATTACTATTCCATTATTTGAAACCACCTTCTTTGGATTTCTATGATTGTTTCAAGCACACACAGCCCTGTGGAGGGAAGCGCACTTCTCTTCAGGCTGTCCACCCCAAGAGTGAATTCAGTCTTGTTTTTGGGTGACGTAAGCCGCCAATTGGTTGGCCTAGTTTTGTCCAGGTGTCTGGCACTGGCTGTTTTGTCGTAATCTAGCAAGTTTTGCCACAGGGCCGTAATTGTGCTCATTTCAAAAGGAGACATGAAAAGAAACCACTGAAGAGCAAGAATTAGGAATCACTAAAAGGGCCATCTTATTGCAATCAATTTTTTAACATTACCTATAGAACTTTAGCTTGTTGACCTGTAGACTCGAGATCAACATAACTCAACTGCGACGAGGATGGGATTCGAACCCACGCGTGCAGAGCACAATGGATTAGCAGTCCATCGCCTTAACCACTCGGCCACCTCGTCTTTGGCAGCCTGTTTTCAAAGGGACCGCCGGACGCGCTGTCCTGACAAAGCAAACAAAGTTGAGCACATGTCAGCTTGGCACACAAGTCATTGAGCAAGTCTACAAGGGGAATTAGCTCAAATGGTAGAGCGCTCGCTTAGCATGCGAGAGGTAGCGGGATCGATGCCCGCATTCTCCACAAGGCTTTAGTTTCCTCTGTTCTGTCGATGAGTCAGTGACTGAAAGACGTTAAATGGATGGACAAACTTCACTCGGATGGTGATGGTCTTCTTAGTCCTTCATACCGCTGCCTGAAAGCCTACTTAGTTGCATTGCTCTCTCTGCCTTGTGGTGCACTGTACGTGTGTTCTTCTTCCAGCGGCTGTGGACGGTAACTGGAGTTAGTGCCCCAGCCACCACTGGGCAAGTTAATTCCCTGCAAAACCAGCTTGTCGTCCGCTCTGCGCTTGTACCTCTGCTTAACAGCGTTCTTATTCACCTCCACCAACTGCAGGCAAGTGCTCCTTATTACTATTCCATTATTTGAAACCACCTTCTTTGGATTTCTATGATTGTTTCAAGCACACACAGCCCTGTGGAGGGAAGCGCACTTCTCTTCAGGCTGTCCACCCCAAGAGTGAATTCAGTCTTGTTTTTGGGTGACGTAAGCCGCCAATTGGTTGGCCTAGTTTTGTCCAGGTGTCTGGCACTGGCTGTTTTGTCGTAATCTAGCAAGTTTTGCCACAGGGCCGTAATTGTGCTCATTTCAAAAGGAGACATGAAAAGAAACCACTGAAGAGCAAGAATTAGGAATCACTAAAAGGGCCATCTTATTGCAATCAATTTTTTAACATTACCTATAGAACTTTAGCTTGTTGACCTGTAGACACGGCAGACTCAACATAACTCAACTGCGACGAGGATGGGATTCGAACCCACGCGTGCAGAGCACAATGGATTAGCAGTCCATCGCCTTAACCACTCGGCCACCTCGTCTTTGGCAGCCTGTTTTCAAAGGGACCGCCGGACGCGCTGTCCTGACAAAGCAAACAAAGTTGAGCACATGTCAGCTTGGCAACACAAGTCATTGAGCAAGTCTACAAGGGGAATTAGCTCAAATGGTAGAGTGCTTGCTTAGCATGCGAGAGGTAGCGGGATCGATGCCCGCATTCTCCACAAGGCTTTAGTTTCCTCTGTTCTGTCGATGAGTCAGTGACTGAAAGACGTTAAATGGATGGACAAACTTCACTCGGATGGTGATGGTCTTCTTAGTCCTTCATACCGCTGCCTGAAAGCCTACTTAGTTGCATTGCTCTCTCTGCCTTGTGGTGCACTGTACGTGTGTTCTTCTTCCAGCGGCTGTGGACGGTAACTGGAGTTAGTGCCCCAGCCACCACTGGGCAAGTTAATTCCCTGCAAAACCAGCTTGTCGTCCGCTCTGCGCTTGTACCTCTGCTTAACAGCGTTCTTATTCACCTCCACCAACTGCAGGCAAGTGCTCCTTATTACTATTCCATTATTTGAAACCACCTTCTTTGGATTTCTATGATTGTTTCAAGCACACACAGCCCTGTGGAGGGAAGCGCACTTCTCTTCAGGCTGTCCACCCCAAGAGTGAATTCAGTCTTGTTTTTGGGTGACGTAAGCCGCCAATTGGTTGGCCTAGTTTTGTCCAGGTGTCTGGCACTGGCTGTTTTGTCGTAATCTAGCAAGTTTTGCCACAGGGCCGTAATTGTGCTCATTTCAAAAGGAGACATGAAAAGAAACCACTGAAGAGCAAGAATTAGGAATCACTAAAAGGGCCATCTTATTGCAATCAATTTTTTAACATTACCTATAGAACTTTAGCTTGTTGACCTGTAGACTCAACATAACTCAACTGCGACGAGGATGGGATTCGAACCCACGCGTGCAGAGCACAATGGATTAGCAGTCCATCGCCTTAACCACTCGGCCAAAGATGGGGCAAAAGGGACTGCTACGGAGGGGGAGAGAAAAGGAAGGAGAGGGGGGAAAGGGGGGAAAGAGAAGAAAAAAAGAGAGGAAAAATGAGAAGGTCGCCGGTTCGATCCCCGATTGGAACATGTCTCAATTAACGCAAACTCTTAGAAAGTGCTATGAATCTATCAAATATCGCTTAAGGATTGGTAAGAATAAGAATGCTTTGTTGTGATGATAATAATAATTATCTTTATTATTAAATTATCTTATAAATTAATTTTTAATTAAATACTGATTGGGCCAACAAGGTGCACACTCTTGCCAGGATTTGCACCTGGAATCTTCCACCCAAAGGATGGCTGTGTTACTATTACACCACAAGAGTTGTGTTTTTTGTTGTTTTTTATTTTTTTATTTTTTTTATATAACACAAACACCAAAAGGTGTGTGTTTTTTTTTAAATTTTTTTTAAAGAACACAAACACCTCCAATAAAAACTTTTTCTCTGTATATATAACACAAACCCTTTAAATAGAAATAACACAATGTATGGGCTTGTTATGGAACATCAAAGTGCAGCACAATTATAAAAACAACTATATACAACAACTATATACATATGTATTTTACAATGAGCTCTTCCACTCTGTGATGGTCTGTCCAGATGCAGGACAGTACCATTTCCCCCGTAATTGTGTATGGCCAGTCAGTTTGCTCTTCGACTGACCACATATTTTACAGTCATAGTGGTAGCTTTCCTTGGCTTGCCGCTTCTTGGGGGGTTCACCTCTCATCTCACGCTCCTTATCCTCCAGGGTTGCCTTTCGCAATCTCCATTCTCGGAACCGATTGAGAGAAGCTACTGGTCCTGGGGCTGGCTGGTAAGGAAGCACACCCTGAGGTTGAGGTGTTGGAGCTGGTGACGATGATGGCAGGTAAGGGGACCAGCCCTGAGAGTGAGATGCAGGAGCAGAGGATGGTGACGGCAGGTAAGGGGACCAGCCCTGAGAGTCAGACGCTGCAGTAGAGGACGGTGACGGCAGGTAAGGGGACCATCCCTGAGAGTGAGACGCCGGAGCAGAGGACGGTGACAGCAGGTAAGGGGACCATCCCTGAGGTTGAGGTGTTGGAGCTGGTGACGATGATGGCAGGTAAGGGGACCAGCCCTGAGGTTGAGGTGTTGGAGCTGGTGACGATGATGGCAGGTAAGGGGACCAGCCCTGAGAGTGAGATGCAGGAGCAGAGGACGGTGACGGCAGGTAAGGGGACCATCCCTGAGGTTGAGGTGTTGGAGCTGGTGACGATGATGGCAGGTAAGGGGACCAGCCCTGAGAGTGAGACGCCGGAGCAGAGGACGGTGACGGCAGGTAAGGGGACCATCCCTGAGAGTGACACGCCGGAGCTGTGTGTTGACCCTGCTGGCGGTAGGCAAGGTTCGATGAAGCAGCATCCCCAGGCCACTCCTGACCTGCATTGGTTGAGCTGGCACCAGCTTCAGTGTCTGTGTGCACAGTGGGAAACACTGCTCTGGCACAGCGACGTTGACGAATCACTGCCTCACCCTCACGGTTTTCTGGTTCCTGGAACTCCATAACTGTGTTACCGTGTTGAACAGGCTCGGGTGGTAGGTCCTGGGCCTCCAGGAGGGGTTCCTCTGCCAAATGGACCTGCTGAGGAAGCTGCACCCCTTGCAGTAACGTATCGCGGTCAGTTCTCTTCTGCCGATCCTGCAGCCTAGAGAAAATATAAAATCAGAAGAGCACATTTTTTTGTCATTATTTGTGTGATTTGTATTTTACCTTGTAAGAATATGCAAGTTTTTATATTGAATTGAATGTATGAAGCTGTAAATATGAACTCACCAGGAGGACACTGTGGTGTTGTTTATGGTCACTAGTAAAAGATTAGTGTTGTCCAGTATGTCTTTGCAGTCCTCTATTAACTGTTTGATGTGACCGTAAGTCATGACAATTGACTGAGGTATTGCAAATGTCTTTCCTTTGTTGTCCTTTGGCCTATTTCTGGCTTCCCGGAACTCCTTGTAGAGTTTGAGTGCAACACACTCAGAAATCCTGTTCATATCAGGTCTGTGGGCAGCCTGGCCATGAACCATGAACAATCTGCAAATAGATGACAAGATGACATAATCCACATTATGTGTGTGTACTGTAAACACATACACATGAATACTGCGTGTATGTAGATACACATGTACACACCCATACACAAATATTACAAATTTACTGTATATCAGAGGAAGATACCTCTCAGCTGCCTGCTGGCCTGGAGCAGAGCCACTGCGCTTCCGAGAAGCTCTCCATGGTCCTGACAAGGTCTTCTTTTTGGTTTTCAAGGAGTATTTGGTTGGGCACTTGTCAGTGGGATCCAGGCAGGAGTACAGTCTCAATATCTCTGCTATCTCAGAGTTTGAGAGAGCTGTTATTGTCCGATTGAGGCTGACAAGATACACTGCCAAGGCATCGACTGCCTCCCATCCGGGAATTCCTCTAGGATCACACCGACTATCCTGTCACATGAAATGAAAACAAAACCAATTCTTGTACAGCTAATTTAAGAGAAAAGGTGAAGGAACAAGCATTTCTAATGGTGAATACATTAGCCACTTTACCGGAGTTGAAGTGATGGGCCCACTGTCCTCAAATGGGGAGCTGGCAGGACTGCTAGACACACCACTTTCAAGTGTAGATTCCTTAAGGAGTTATTTGTAAACAGTGAGAGTGGTACAGTGAGGTTCATAAAGTTTGTTTAAATTAACCTCTGCAAAATAGGTTTACAGTAAAAAATGTTTGATTTATCATCAAATTGTTATCACATCATTACCTGAGATGAAGACTGAAAAGATATATCGGTGGCCTGGGGTACTGTCACATCAGGACATTCATCCTCCTGAGCTTCATCCAGAATCTCTGGCGGAATGGCACCAATTTCCTTCTGTGCACTCAGCAGATCTCCCCTGTTAGACTGCGCCAGCAAATACTCAACAGCAATACGCTCCCCTGCCATAAGTAGAAAAATGTTTAAAGTAGAATGAGTGAGTGAACAGATGTGTAACCTTCAAGTAATATCTGACAGTTTGGTCAGAATATTGTCCAGCATGTTTTCTTTTTTCTTTTTGCCATAGAATCTTACCGGTAGGTTTCCCCGGGGGTATAAACTCTGGAAGAAGTCCACTTCCCAGGACTCTGTTGCTAAGGGCGTTCACACTGGACATCAAACGTACATCGTACAGCTTTGTGCGTGACGTACCACTCATACCCAGAGCTTGCTGAGACCTATTGTGGTTCCATCTGGATAACCCCTCAAGCAAGTACATCTGTGTATGTAGAGCATTACATCTCCACCCTGGCAAGACAAAAGCATTGGCGACAACAACAAAAAGAATGTCATGACAACATAATACACAGCATTCATCAACAAAATGTTTCAAATATTTAGTGTTTCAAGCTTGCCTGGGATGAAACCACACTGGTGCCGATGAAAGCTCTCAAGAGAGGAGGATCCTCTGCCACATCTTAGGACGTCAAGCGTTTTGTCTCCCTTCTCCAGGCCTGATCCAGTGTTAGTGTACAACTGCACACCAGGTGGATCCTGGATGCAGGACAAGTGCTTCTGCTGTACCTCCCACACAAGAGACATGCTGTCATGATTTATGAGATGTAAGCCACTTGTGTCTGTGAGGTCCCACATGGAGTCCAGCAGTTGCTTGATCAGAACGCGAGTCTCCTCAACCCCTCGGGTTCTCCTGCGGCAGTGCTTGACCAGCTCACTGGATGTGATGCTGGATAACACCTGAGAGTCAGTGGGTATGTGACCCTGGTGCTTTTTTTTTAGCTCGGCCCTCTTGGCCTCTTTCAGGCGGTGAATGTCATCTTTGTCCCACTCAAAGATACAAGTGGATAACTTTGAGCAGAACGTGCCATACAGTGGATGGTGCTCAGTCGTAAGGCCATTGGTGAACCGCCTCATAAAATGGAAAATATCCAGTCTCACCATTGACGTCCATGGCCGAAACCAAGTGAGAACTGGACCCACCCCTGTAACAATAAGAAACAGACAGTAAATAAATGCATATCTGTTTGTTTCCAGTTCCAACTGCATTGATCTCCTGCCAAAACTATTGTTTTATCAAATGTAATTCATAAGACACATCACAACACAAATTGAAGGCAACACACCTGTCTCACTGCAGCAGTCTCTGTCCACATATATGGCATCTGGCTCTGGCTCACCAGCATCTCTGTACCTTTGGACGATGCCTTGACAAAGGTCATCAAGGCCAGCCCCCTCACCAGTGGTCAGCACAGAATTCAGCACTTGCCCAAATTCATTGCCGATATTTGTCATCCATGTGGCTGTGCCCTCAATGCCACCAGCAAGTTTTTTTGTGATCTACATAAAAAAAATAATGTCTCAGAAATCATCAGCTATGCTAACAAATTGAATGAAATCAAGTTTACATAGGTTTACATTTACCTTCTTAGTAGAGTCCAGTTTCAAGATTCTACCAAACGTTGAAGTGATGACACCTTTTAACTCGTCAAGGTGACTCAGAATGTCGTTGGCATGAACCGTCTCAAACCACTGGGCCAGGGGCAGGGGACTGAAGGGTGGTGGCGGCTGATACACAGCTTCAGACTGGGTGAGGACACAGGACTTTTTGTGGACCTCACAATCAGTGAGGTAGTCGACGGTCCGCCTAGCCCACTCCTCACTGTGTATCTCCTGCAAGGCTTGCTGTAAATAGCTGGAGCTGTTCCCTGATGTTCTTGGGCGCAACATCGCAACACACCTCCTGTCCAGTGCCAAATGGGTTGTGAGGACAGCTGGGAATTTGTAACGGTGGGAGGGATCGAGCTGTTTTAAAATGTCCATGCTCCAAGGGCAGACGGGAATCCTGCATTTGCTGCACCTTGGATAGTCTCCACCCACCAGGTAATACTTAGAATCAATGTCAATTACCTCCCTGACTTTAGTGTAGATGCCAGAATGGTGCATCTTCCTATTGCACTGGGTGCATTTTAGAGGGATGCCCCACATCCGCATTGGAGCCCACAGGAACATCCGCTGCCGGAAATAATTATGTGGATCAGGAGGTGAGTAGGATTTGGTGGGGCTGGGGGGATGAAACCAGTTCTGAGACAGGTTTTGTTTCAGCTGTCCAGTACTGTCGTATAAAATGTGGGCGATCCACTCCTGGTCAGCTGGCTGGATGACTCTGGTGAACTGCTTTGGTAAAAAACTCACCCAGTTTACCTCAGGAGGCTGCAGAGTGAGTGGGTGTTGTGGTGGTGCCGGTGACGTCTCATGGGTTGTGGGAGGAGCAGGAACAGGGGCAGGAACATCGGGTGGGTCACTGTGTTGCTGTGTCGCCGGTGTCGTCTCTTGGGCTATGGGAGTGGTAGGAGCAGCAACATCTGGGAGGTCTGTTGGACAGCTCAAAATGTGACATTCCTCTAGGTGCTGTAACAATCCAACAGTCCCCCAGGCCTTTGCACCACACTGCTCACACTGCTCCTGGACGTGGTAGTCTGACAGGTGCTGCGTGTAGTCCTCGCACATCACCTCCCGACTACACAGCGAGCACGTGACCGACTTCCCCTCACTCATCCTGCACAGAGCCGGAGCTTTCTCACCTACATCTGTCTGTGGTCCTGGAGCTTTTCCAGCCGCTGCACTGGTCTGTGAACCTGTAGCTGCTGCACCTGCACTGGCCTGGGAAATAAACTTTGTTCCAGCTGCTGCACTGGCCTGGGAACCTGGAGCTGCTGTGCTTGCACTGGTCTGTGAAATATACTTTGTTCCAGCTGCTGCACTGGCCTCTGGAGCACTCAGCTGACCTGCACTGGCCTGTGGAGCACTCAGCTGACCTGCACTGGCCTGTGGAGCACTCAGCTGACCTGCACTGGCCTGTGGAGCACTCAGCTGACCTGCACTGGATGCTGCTGTCCCTGCCTTCTCTGCTGACTGGGAAAAACAAAACTGTGTTTACATTTAGAGTACCTTTCCTCTAAGCCTTACAATACTCTGCACCCAAATAATTACATACTCACACTGTTTAACACTGAAAAAAAAACAATAGAACTGAGGAAAAAACATTTTCTGTTACATTTTCCAGTATATTTGCATCACATCACAGGTTTAATGATTCAATGCCATCGCTTACCTGGTGGTATCCGCACTTGCAGGGGATCCTTTTCCCAAATATGTCTTGTTTGGGGACAGTAGTTTGACCTTTCAGGGGGGTCAGAGGACAATCAGCAATCCGCTGCATTACTGCCCTCCACCTCCTGGCCCCCGGCCTCTTGCCAGTTGTAAATTTGTACTTTCCCTGGGCATACAGGGACATCACACCTGCCCAGTAGGCATCTGGTTTCCCGGTCTTTGTCATTTCTGCAGATATTAGGGACAAGATATGGAAAACAACAAAATGAACTGCAACAGATGGAAATACTTCATCAACTACTGATCACCACAAGCAAGACTTTATTTCACAATATTTCAGCAATATATGTCTATCAAATGAACAGTATAGCCTACCCTATCAAATGACAAATATGTTGATTGGTAACAATAATTGATTTCACAATTTATTTTAGTCAGAGAGTTAATCCATAGGTCACACAGTGCATAGGCTAGCTCTTCAACTAGGGTCATCGTGCTGACGTCACTCGATTATTATAAAAGCACACAAAATTGCCTCAGGCGTTAACGGTTTTCACGTCAGGTCAACGACACAAAACATAGCTTAAGATGACCACCACTTACCGTAGAAAAGTCTCTGAAACGACGACAACATTAACAGACCAAACAAACAAACAAACAAACGGCGAACGTTCACAACTTAACGTATGGGCGACTAACGCTGACGTTATCTTAGTCGTTACGTTACACTTTCAACATCGTTTCCCACGTTAATCTAATGGATCTAGCAAAACCTACTGTCTCATAGACTTAAACATTCACCCCTTAAAATAATATATCATAACGTAAGCCTTTTTGGACGATTTGAAGTCTACTATTACCCTAAACACTAACGTTACATCTAAACTAGCGTTACGACCGGACTAAACTGTAACCCTGCACACTAAAACGGTCCAAATAGACAAGTTAAAACTTATTTAATCCATTCGTACTTACTTTTAATACCCTGAAGGACAGTACATGTCTCTGATAAATCCCATTCATTCGGAATAACTGAGCGTCAAGAAAAGTTTGTTATCTGTGACTAACTGGTGGCCATCCAATCAGCGACGAGATCCGCCTGACAACCTGACGCACCAATTGTTGATTGGATGCGTCGCCCCATCGTTTCTGAGGAACTGATTGGCTCTTTTACCCCATGTTCGGATCTGTGTTAGGACCTCGTTCGAATGTGTTAGGACTTGTTAGCACTTGTTAGGATATTGTTAGGATATTGTTAGGAATCGTTAGGAATCATTAGGACATCGTTAGGATGTGTTTGGCAGTCCTTTTGCTGCAAGGTACGGCCACCTCGTCTTTGGCAGCCTGTTTTCAAAGGGACCGCCGGACGCGCTGTCCTGACAAAGCAAACAAAGTTGAGCACATGTCAGCTTGGCACACAAGTCATTGAGCAAGTCTACAAGGGGAATTAGCTCAAATGGTAGAGTGCTTGCTTAGCATGCGAGAGGTAGCGGGATCGATGCCCGCATTCTCCACAAGGCTTTAGTTTCCTCTGTTCTGTCGATGAGTCAGTGACTGAAAGACGTTAAATGGATGGACAAACTTCACTCGGATGGTGATGGTCTTCTTAGTCCTTCATACCGCTGCCTGAAAGCCTACTTAGTTGCATTGCTCTCTCTGCCTTGTGGTGCACTGTACGTGTGTTCTTCTTCCAGCGGCTGTGGACGGTAACTGGAGTTAGTGCCCCAGCCACCACTGGGCAAGTTAATTCCCTGCAAAACCAGCTTGTCGTCCGCTCTGCGCTTGTACCTCTGCTTAACAGCGTTCTTATTCACCTCCACCAACTGCAGGCAAGTGCTCCTTATTACTATTCCATTATTTGAAACCACCTTCTTTGGATTTCTATGATTGTTTCAAGCACACACAGCCCTGTGGAGGGAAGCGCACTTCTCTTCAGGCTGTTCACCCCAAGAGTGAATTCAGTCTTGTTTTTGGGTGACGTAAGCCGCCAATTGGTTGGCCTAGTTTTGTCCAGGTGTCTGGCACTGGCTGTTTTGTCGTAATCTAGCAAGTTTTGCCACAGGGCCGTAATTGTGCTCATTTCAAAAGGAGACATGAAAAGAAACCACTGAAGAGCAAGAATTAGGAATCACTAAAAGGGCCATCTTATTGCAATCAATTTTTTAACATTACCTATAGAACTTTAGCTTGTTGACCTGTAGACTCAACATAACTCAACTGCGACGAGGATGGGATTCGAACCCACGCGTGCAGAGCACAATGGATTAGCAGTCCATCGCCTTAACCACTCGGCCACCTCGTCTTTGGCAGCCTGTTTTCAAAGGGACCGCCGGACGCGCTGTCCTGACAAAGCAAACAAAGTTGAGCACATGTCAGCTTGGCACACAAGTCATTGAGCAAGTCTACAAGGGGAATTAGCTCAAATGGTAGAGTGCTCGCTTAGCATGCGAGAGGTAGCGGGATCGATGCCCGCATTCTCCACAAGGCTTTAGTTTCCTCTGTTCTGTCGATGAGTCAGTGACTGAAAGACGTTAAATGGATGGACAAACTTCACTCGGATGGTGATGGTCTTCTTAGTCCTTCATACCGCTGCCTGAAAGCCTACTTAGTTGCATTGCTCTCTCTGCCTTGTGGTGCACTGTACGTGTGTTCTTCTTCCAGCGGCTGTGGACGGTAACTGGAGTTAGTGCCCCAGCCACCACTGGGCAAGTTAATTCCCTGCAAAACCAGCTTGTCGTCCGCTCTGCGCTTGTACCTCTGCTTAACAGCGTTCTTATTCACCTCCACCAACTGCAGGCAAGTGCTCCTTATTACTATTCCATTATTTGAAACCACCTTCTTTGGATTTCTATGATTGTTTCAAGCACACACAGCCCTGTGGAGGGAAGCGCACTTCTCTTCAGGCTGTCCACCCCAAGAGTGAATTCAGTCTTGTTTTTGGGTGACGTAAGCCGCCAATTGGTTGGCCTAGTTTTGTCCAGGTGTCTGGCACTGGCTGTTTTGTCGTAATCTAGCAAGTTTTGCCACAGGGCCGTAATTGTGCTCATTTCAAAAGGAGACATGAAAAGAAACCACTGAAGAGCAAGAATTAGGAATCACTAAAAGGGCCATCTTATTGCAATCAATTTTTTAACATTACCTATAGAACTTTAGCTTGTTGACCTGTAGACTCAACATAACTCAACTGCGACGAGGATGGGATTCGAACCCACGCGTGCAGAGCACAATGGATTAGCAGTCCATCGCCTTAACCACTCGGCCACCTCGTCTTTGGCAGCCTGTTTTCAAAGGGACCGCCGGACGCGCTGTCCTGACAAAGCAAACAAAGTTGAGCACATGTCAGCTTGGCACACAAGTCATTGAGCAAGTCTACAAGGGGAATTAGCTCAAATGGTAGAGCGCTCGCTTAGCATGCGAGAGGTAGCGGGATCGATGCCCGCATTCTCCACAAGGCTTTAGTTTCCTCTGTTCTGTCGATGAGTCAGTGACTGAAAGACGTTAAATGGATGGACAAACTTCACTCGGATGGTGATGGTCTTCTTAGTCCTTCATACCGCTGCCTGAAAGCCTACTTAGTTGCATTGCTCTCTCTGCCTTGTGGTGCACTGTACGTGTGTTCTTCTTCCAGCGGCTGTGGACGGTAACTGGAGTTAGTGCCCCAGCCACCACTGGGCAAGTTAATTCCCTGCAAAACCAGCTTGTCGTCCGCTCTGCGCTTGTACCTCTGCTTAACAGCGTTCTTATTCACCTCCACCAACTGCAGGCAAGTGCTCCTTATTACTATTCCATTATTTGAAACCACCTTCTTTGGATTTCTATGATTGTTTCAAGCACACACAGCCCTGTGGAGGGAAGCGCACTTCTCTTCAGGCTGTCCACCCCAAGAGTGAATTCAGTCTTGTTTTTGGGTGACGTAAGCCGCCAATTGGTTGGCCTAGTTTTGTCCAGGTGTCTGGCACTGGCTGTTTTGTCGTAATCTAGCAAGTTTTGCCACAGGGCCGTAATTGTGCTCATTTCAAAAGGAGACATGAAAAGAAACCACTGAAGAGCAAGAATTAGGAATCACTAAAAGGGCCATCTTATTGCAATCAATTTTTTAACATTACCTATAGAACTTTAGCTTGTTGACCTGTAGACACGGCAGACTCAACATAACTCAACTGCGACGAGGATGGGATTCGAACCCACGCGTGCAGAGCACAATGGATTAGCAGTCCATCGCCTTAACCACTCGGCCACCTCGTCTTTGGCAGCCTGTTTTCAAAGGGACCGCCGGACGCGCTGTCCTGACAAAGCAAACAAAGTTGAGCACATGTCAGCTTGCAACACAAGTCATTGAGCAAGTCTACAAGGGGAATTAGCTCAAATGGTAGAGCGCTCGCTTAGCATGCGAGAGGTAGCGGGATCGATGCCCGCATTCTCCACAAGGCTTTAGTTTCCTCTGTTCTGTCGATGAGTCAGTGACTGAAAGACGTTAAATGGATGGACAAACTTCACTCGGATGGTGATGGTCTTCTTAGTCCTTCATACCGCTGCCTGAAAGCCTACTTAGTTGCATTGCTCTCTCTGCCTTGTGGTGCACTGTACGTGTGTTCTTCTTCCAGCGGCTGTGGACGGTAACTGGAGTTAGTGCCCCAGCCACCACTGGGCAAGTTAATTCCCTGCAAAACCAGCTTGTCGTCCGCTCTGCGCTTGTACCTCTGCTTAACAGCGTTCTTATTCACCTCCACCAACTGCAGGCAAGTGCTCCTTATTACTATTCCATTATTTGAAACCACCTTCTTTGGATTTCTATGATTGTTTCAAGCACACACAGCCCTGTGGAGGGAAGCGCACTTCTCTTCAGGCTGTCCACCCCAAGAGTGAATTCAGTCTTGTTTTTGGGTGACGTAAGCCGCCAATTGGTTGGCCTAGTTTTGTCCAGGTGTCTGGCACTGGCTGTTTTGTCGTAATCTAGCAAGTTTTGCCACAGGGCCGTAATTGTGCTCATTTCAAAAGGAGACATGAAAAGAAACCACTGAAGAGCAAGAATTAGGAATCACTAAAAGGGCCATCTTATTGCAATCAATTTTTTAACATTACCTATAGAACTTTAGCTTGTTGACCTGTAGACACGGGAGACTCAACATAACTCAACTGCGACGAGGATGGGATTCGAACCCACGCGTGCAGAGCACAATGGATTAGCAGTCCATCGCCTTAACCACTCGGCCACCTCGTCTTTGGCAGCCTGTTTTCAAAGGGACCGCCGGACGCGCTGTCCTGACAAAGCAAACAAAGTTGAGCACATGTCAGCTTGCAACACAAGTCATTGAGCAAGTCTACAAGGGGAATTAGCTCAAATGGTAGAGCGCTCGCTTAGCATGCGAGAGGTAGCGGGATCGATGCCCGCATTCTCCACAAGGCTTTAGTTTCCTCTGTTCTGTCGATGAGTCAGTGACTGAAAGACGTTAAATGGATGGACAAACTTCACTCGGATGGTGATGGTCTTCTTA